GTATTGTAGAGTGTAGTATCCTAGAGTATTGTAGAGAAGAGTGTAGTATCCTACAGTATTGTAGAGAAGAGTGTAGTATCCTAGAGTATTGTAGAGAAGAGTGTAGTATCCTACAGTATTGTAGAGAAGAGTGTAGTATCCTACAGTATTGTAGAGAAGAGTGTAGTATCCTACAGTATTGTAGAGAAGAGTGTAGTATCCTACAGTATTGTAGAGTGTAGTATCCTAGAGTATTGTAGAGAAGAGTGTAGTATCCTTGAGTATTGTAGAGAAGAGTGTAGTATCCTAAGTGTGTAGAGAAGATGCTAGTATCCTAGAGTATTGTAGAGAAGAGTGTAGTATCCTAGAGTATTGTAGAGAAGAGTGTAGTATCCTAGAGTATTGTAGAGAAGAGTGTAGTATCCTAGAGTATTGTAGAGAAGAGTGTAGTATCCTAGAGTATTGTAGAGAAGAGTGTAGTATCCTACAGTATTGTAGAGAAGAGTGTAGTATCCTACAGTATTGTAGAGAAGAGTGTAGTATCCTACAGTATTGTAGAGAAGAGTGTAGTATCCTACAGTATTGTAGAGAAGAGTGTAGTATCCTACAGTATTGTAGAGAAGAGTGTAGTATCCTACAGTATTGTAGAGAAGAGTGTAGTATCCTACAGTATTGTAGAGAAGAGTGTAGTATCTACAGTATTGTAGAGAAGAGTGTAGTATCCTACAGTATTGTAGAGAAGAGTGTAGTATCCTACAGTATTGTAGAGTGTAGTATCCTACAGTATTGTAGAGAGGTATCCTACAGTAGTAGTAGTATCCTACAGTATTGTAGAGTGTAGTATCCTACAGTATTGTAGAGTGTAGTATCCTACAGTATTGTAGAGAAGAGTGTAATATCCTACAGTCCAGTCAGGGCCTTATTCAGCAGGAATGTGGGGAATGCAGTTCCAGCACCCCACCACTGAATGTATGCAATGGCAAGTGGTGCTGCGGTATGTTGGAAGGTCTACTGATGTTGGCATCTGGGGGATCTATTGTTACTGGAAGGGATCTATTTTTGCATGGTAGTCTATTGTTGCTGGGGAGGTCTGTTGTTGGAGGGGATCAACTGTTGATGGGTCTATTGTTGCTGGAGAGTCTATTATTGCTGGGGTGGTACTTTGTTGCCAGGGTCCATTGTTGCTGAGAGAATTTATTGATGCTGGGGGGGGGGGGGGGAATGTCTACTGCTGCTGACTGTGGGGGATTCATTTTACTGCTTTTCTTGTTATCATTAACACATTTTGGAGCACCACAAAATGATAATTGGCTTTATATTCTTTATAAGGGGTGGTACTGAGAGGGGGAAAGGAACCAAGGGATGGTGCTCAGAGGTGGGTAGGGGGATGGAGACAAGCAATGATTCAGAAGGGGGGAGTTCCTGCACCTATTTTCTGAGAAAAAAAAGCCCTACCAACAGCATTGTAGAAATGAGTGTAGTACCCTACAGTAATGTAGAAATGAGTGTAAAATCCTACGGTATTGTAGAAATGAGTGTAGCATCCTACAGTAATGAGTAGAAATGAGTGTAGCATCCTACAGTAATGTAGAAAGGAGTGTAGCATCCTACAGTAATGTAGAAATGAGTGTAGCATCCTACAGTAATGTAGAAATGAGTGTAGCATCCTACGGTACAGTAGAAATGAGTGTAGCATCCTACAGTATAGTAGAAATGAGTGTAGCATCCTACAGTATAGTAGAAATGAGTGTAGCATCCTACAGTATAGTAGACATGAATGTAGTAATCTTACGTATAGTAGAGAAGCATGTAATGTAGAAATACACCTACAGTAATGTAGAAATGAGTGTAGTACCCTACAGTATTGCAGATATAGAATGTGTAGCATCCTACGGTATTGTAGATATGATAGTGAAGTATTCTACAGTATTATAATAAACAGAATAGTGTGCAACAACCACATAAAACAGTATTATAATAAACAGAATGTGTGCAACAACCACATAAAACAGTCCTGAATAAATAAATTGTCTATCTATTCTCCAAGTGATAAACAAATGTCCCAAAAATTCCAAATCACATAAAAATCTCTTCTAGATCTTTGTGTAAAGAAGACCTTTTCACACGATTTGGGATTTTTGGGATAATTGTTTATCACTTGGAGAATAGATGGACAATTTATTTATTCCCATGATTGTTTTATGTGGTAATGTGTGTATTGTTATAATTTCAGGTGTTGTGAAATGCGTTCCTTTTACAAGAATTTTTTGGCAAGCAATAATAGTTGTCACTGTATATTATGCACTATGTGTGATTGTATTGTAGGATTAGTAGAATCTCGCACTCACTACATGGAAGGAGCTGGTATTGGAGTGTGACAGGTCACCATTGTTTGTATTGTCATTCAACTGCTGCGGTTAGAACATGAGGTGTACACAGGGAGGGACCATACTGGAGACCTTGTAGTGAAGAGAATAGTCTCCTCAGGGCAGACATCTGCTAAGTGTATCTGCATGCTGTGTAGTGACACCCCCCGCCCTGTACAATCACACGGCTGACACCCATTACCACGACTGGCATAGTACAGTACTGGCACAGCGGGACATTGGCGGGCAGCCCGTCCTCTAACTAGGGGCATTTCCGGTACCCTGGCAGGCTGGTGTGTACAGCGCCACCATAACCCCCCATATTCCTCTACACACCCTTCACTACCACAGCAAAGTGCAGCATAAGCATTTCACTACAGGCACACCGAGCGCTCCAATGTGGAGGAATGCCAGTGAACCGAGCTCAGTCACGGAGTACGAAGGACAAGCGCCGGTCCACTGCTGCCACGTTCTTCTATACACCGCGCCACACAAGCCACCCTCACCTGGAGCGCACAACTTCACACTCTGAGTGTCACCAACGAGACCAGCAAGACGAGGACAGACAGCGCGCACACTGCAGCCTGTGATGTATGGACGCCACACTGACCCCTGCAGGCTGAGAGGAGTCTCTCCCACAGATCGATCCAGTGTCTTCAACGAGAAACAACTGTGCTCTCTAATCCTAGGTTCACACCTATGCAATTTGTGTTTGGCGCCTTTCTGCATTGCGTTTTTGCACTTGCGTTCTTGCCACGTTTTGCACTTTTTTTTTCATTTTATTTTTCTTGTTGCTAGGCAGATTTAAATTTAAAATGCAAAACACAGGAAAAACGCAATACATGCTTTTCTACAGCGTTCCCGGAGAAGTCTATACAACCACGTTTTGCGTTCAAAAAAGTCCCTGAGCCCCCAGTCACATTGGGTGCGATCAGGGGCGGACTGACAACTAAAGGGGCCTCTGGGCAATAGGGATCATGGGGCCCCTGTGTCCTTGCCCACACTCAAAGCACATCCAAAAAAGCCTATAAAAAGGTAACGGCATTTCATGGGGCCCCCTACTGACCCCAGGCCCTCAGGCAGTGCCCAAGTGCTCAAATGGTCAGTCCGCCCCTGGGTGCGATTTGGAATGCCAGGCAACTTGCAAATCATATGCCAAGTCACACCCTATTGTCCGCTGTTAGAGATGTCATATCGGTGAGGTTCCAACTTGGAGCCACACCAATTTCTAAAGTAGTGCATGTACTACTTTTCTTGCGATTTGCATAAATATCTGTGTCTTGCAAATCACAAGGAAATTGGCAGGTCACCCGTTTTTGAAATCATGCGACTTCACTGTAAGTTGCACAATTTTAAAATCGGCTTTGATGTGACCACGGGCTGACCCTTTTCAAAAAGCGTTCCGGGTAAAAATGTGGAAATGTGAACCTGTCCCATAGGAAATCATGTGACCCTAGGTTCACACCTAACACCCCTGTTGCACTGAGTGCGACTTGGCATGTGGTTTGCATGCCATGCAACATGCAAATGATATGCCAAGTCGCACCCTATTGTCTGCAATTACAGCAGTCAAATTGGTGCGGTTCCGACTTGGTTGGAGCCACACCAATTTCTAAAGTAGTACATGTACTACTTTTGGTGCAACTTGCATAGACATCGGTATCAGATGTGTTACAACTCGCACCTGAAATCGGCATGTCCCCCGACTTTGAAATTGTGCCATTTAACATGATTTCATATGACATAGGTTCACATCCCTGCGTTTTCACCCGGCGTATTTTTTGGGTCAGGGACTTTTTTGAAAGCAAAACGTTGCATTTTTGGTTCTATAGACTTTGATGCGTTTTTGATGCGTTTCAAATCTGCCTAGGAACAAGAAAAAAATGAAAAAAGCAAACGCATCAAAAACACGGCAAAAACAAGTGCAAAAACGCAATGCAGAAACATACCAAACGCAACCTGCATATGTGTGAACCTAGGCTAAAATGGACTGTACTGCATTTCTGCAAAACACAAAACATGGCAGAAAATGCTAGGGTTATGCTCCATTCAGGCTAGGTTCACAGCTCTGCGTGTTGCGATTGATGCGTTTTTCTGGCACCTTTTCTGGGGGGTATTTTTGCCAATAGGAAAGTATAGACTTTGATGCCACTTTGATGGGTGCGATTTTGATGCTACTTGAGTGCCAGAGAGTGGAAAGTTGCATCAGAGTCACACTACATGAACAGAATTGTCATACTTTCCTATTAGCAAAAAAAAAAAAAAATGCAAAATGCATTAAAAAAAGCATAAAAAGGCAACACTTGCGTTTTTGGTGCGGTTCCAGTGCGGTTCTATTGCACAAAAAAAATGCAATCTGCTGCAGGACAAAAAGTCCCTGACCCTTTCAGAAAAACACACTGGCTCAAAATGTACAGATGTGAACTAGAACAGGGCTTACAATTTCAAGTCCTGAGTTACTAGCCAGGCCTTAGAGTTACTCGCCACCAACAAACACACACAAACAGGGACACCTGTACACACACACACACAGACATGTACATACACACACACACAGAAACATGTACACACACGCACAGAGACACATGTACGCACACACACACAGACACATGTATACACACACAGGCACATACAGACACGCATACACACAGATACATGTATATACACAGAAATACACATGCACAGACACATGTACATACACACAGACACTGGTACATACATACACAGACATATGTACACACAGACACATGTACGTACATACACACAAACACACATACATGTTCATGCACAGACACATGTACACACGCAGAGACGCATGCACACACACACACACATACATGTACATACACGCAGAGACATGTACAGATACACACATGTACATACACACAGACACATGTACAATTGTACATGCATACACCGCCCCCCCATAAAAAGTTGCAGTACTTCGTTGTTCACTCACAGATCCGGGTACTGCACTCTAGGGGGAGGCAGAGAGCACAGCACACACTCCTTGCTTTGCTTTCACTGCACTCAGCTATTGAGCAGTCTGACGGCTCCCAGTGCCAATGACTGATCCGGCCTGAGCTCCGAGCCTGCTCAGCAAGATGGCCCTGGGGGACACACTCACCCCCACCATAATTTCCACTCGCCATTGGCGAGCAGGCGAGTGGAAATTTCAAGCCCTGAACTAGATCCATAGGAAATCATGTTAAATGGACTGTAGTGAGTTTCTGCAAACTGGAAAACACACTGAAAAACAAAGCTAGGCTCACACTTGGCCATCTGAAAAACAAAACATGTGCAAAAACACAAAACGCCCTGCAAAAAGCACTGCAGAAATGTATCAAACGCAAACTGCCTGAATCATTATTACACAGCCAGAGAGAAGATTCTCTCAGGCCTGGTTCACACTAGTGTGACTTCTGATGTGACTTGAGTTAAACAGAATCACATGATAAGGGAAATCTCATTGCGTTCAATGGTGCCCACTCTAGTTAATGCGAATCAGAATGGTGCCATTTTGGAAAAGGTTCCTCTACTCCTTTGGTGTGATTTACAATGACTTGGCCTCACAGAATATGCAAAGCCCCATCAAAGTAACACTGCATAATCACACTTTAAATCGCATCAAAGTCGCATTGCAGTAGTGTGAACTGAGCCTCATTCTGCACGACTACTTGGTAGGGTACTGCTAGAGCAATGGGAAGCTTTGTGCTGGGGGTGATTTCTGTGGGGGGAGTGGGGACTTTTTGTTTGATAGAAAGGAGATGTTTCTACTGGGGGGGTTGTTTGTTATGCAGGGGGGATTTTTGCTTGGAAGCTGGGTAATTTTTGAAGACCAGGGTGAGAGGGAGTTTTTTTGGTGGGGGATATTTTCTGAAAGGGTAAGGAGGGTTTTCTTGGGAGTGGGGGATTTTTAACTTTTATACACACAGTATATGGACGTAAAGCTAACACTTTCTGAACCGGACTCAGAGCCGAACTGACTGAAATGCTTCCTCTTATTTAATAAAAAGTCTGACAAGAACATTCACCTGGGACCGTCCACCACCAGAATGGAGTAGGGGAAGTAGAGGACCCGCTGGTCATGTCACTGCACTGAAAACAATAGAAAAAAAGTATGTATCCTGATTTTCTTTTTAATATATAGTGTGGGGTGGGGAGCTTTCCCCATACCCTGAGTTGGGCTTTAAGGAGAACTTTAATAAAATAGTTTAAAAATTACCAGCAACTATTAGGACAATGAACCCTTTGGTCAGGAATATGTAATGTACAACATAGCTTGCAAAGTGCAGCAGTTTGGGCTATGTAATGTACAGTATATGGGCATCAGGCCTGGACTGGCAATAGGGCGCACCAGGCATTTGCCCAGTGGGCTAGGGTCTCCGGGCTTAAGATGACCGGGCTGCACAGCGGGAGGTAAGTGGCAACCGCGGTCTGGATGGGGCTAATAAAGACCACGGCCACCGCTCAACTCCTGCTGCGCGGGCTAAGCCCAAAGCAGGGCCGACAGGAGGAGCGGCAGTGATGGCTCCTGAAGACAAGCAGGAAGTGCCGCTGACACACGGACATCTCCTCGGCCGGCCTGTTCTTCACCTGCGGCTGCCGGCACACTCTGACAGGTCTGCAGTGGCGGAGGATGGGGCTGTCTCTGCTGGATGGGCTGTCTCTTTACTGGATGGGCTGTCTCTTAGCTGGAGGAGCTGTCTCTTTTCTGCAGGAGCTGTCTCTTTGCTGGATGGGCTGTCTCTTTGCTGGAGGGGCTGTCTCTTTGCTGGAGGGGCTGTCTTTTTGCTGGATGAACTGTCTCTTTGCTGGATGGGTCTCTTTTGCTGGCTGGGTTGTCTCTGCTGGATGGGCTGTCTCTGCTGGACGGGGCTGTCTCTTTGCTGGACGGGCTGTCTCTTTGCTGGACAGCTGTCTGTTTGTGGGATGGCTGTCTTTGCTGGACTGGGCTGTCTCTTGCTGGACAGGTTGTCTCTGCACTGGACGGGCTGTATCTTTCTGGATGAACTGTCTCTTTGCTGGATGGGCTGTCTCTTTGCTGGACAGCTGTCTCTTTGCTGGATGGGCTGTCTCTGCTGGACGGGGCTGTCTCTTTGCTGGACCGGGCTGTCTCTTTGCTGGACAGCTGTCTTTTGCTGGATTTGCTGGACGGGCTGTCTCTGCTGGACAGGTTGTCTCTGCACTGGACGGGCTGTATCTTTCTGGACGGGCTGTCTCTTTGCTGGACTGGGCTGTCTGTTTGCCTAGTTGGCTCCAGCAAAGACACATCCCAATCCAGCAAAGAGACAGCCCAGTCCAAGAAGGGAAATCCCCATCCAGCAAAGAGACATCCCTGTTCAGCAAAGAGACATCCCGTCTTTGCTATATTGGGATGTCTCTTTGTTGGATTGGGTCATTTCTTTGAATATACATGGGGCACTGTGTTTAGATTTCTAGGGACACTGTAATGTAAAGGTGCACTGTGATATAAAGGGGACTGTGCTGTAAAGGGGCACTGTAATCAATACAGTGCCCCTTTATGGTGCAGTCCCCTTTATATCACAGTGCCTCTTTATATTAGAGTGCGGAGGACTGCATCCATGAATATTCTGTTACCAACTGCCCCCGCGAATGCCCTTGTGCCCCCCCCCCCCGGGAAATTGGCTGCTCAGTCTAATATGCCCAGGCCTATTTTTTTAGTCCCAGTCCGGGCCTGATGGGCAGAAAGCTAATACTTTCTGAATCGGACTCAAATCCAAATTAACTAAAATACTCCCTCTCATTTAATAAAAAGTCTGAAAAGAAAAGAACACTTATCCGGGACTGTCCACCACCAGAATAGAGTAGAAGAAGTAGAGGACTGGTCATGTCCCCGGACTGAAAACCCTAGACAAAAGGTATGTATCCTGATTTTCTTTTTAATATATAGTGCGGGGTGGGGGAGCTTTCACCATACCCGGAGTTGGGCTTTAAGGAGAACTTTATGTAAAATAGTTCAAAATTACCAGCAACTGTTAGGACAATGACCCCTTTGGTCAGGAATATGTAATGTACAACATTGCTTACAAAGTGCAGCAGTTTGGGCTATGTAATGTACACCACAGCTTACAGCAGCTTTTCCCAACCTTTTTAACATTGAGGAACCTGTGAAATAACTTTCCAGTCTCAGGGAACCCCTACTAATATCCACTAGATCTACAACTCACAGTACATTAGCATGATGGTAATTGGGAAAAGTGCTCCTGATACTTGTAATTGTGGTCACTGGGAAGGATCCCCCCTTTACAGATAGCTAAAAAAGACAATTGGTGCCATTGGTTACTTATATGAGAGGCAGAAATTGTTTATTGCCCAAGGAACCACTAGTAACCTCTGGAGGAACCCTGGTTGAGAAAGGCTGGCTTACAGACTGTAGCTGTCTAGAATATGTAATGTATAGCAAAATCAGGGGTATGTGATATATACGACTTACAGCAGGCGTGTCATGTAATGACAGCATTTACTTACAACATTTTATAACAGAGTAAGGGGTCATATAACATTTCCTGAAGCATTTAGCTGCAAAATTACAAGAAAGTATAAATGTCAAGGTTATGGTGAGAAGGGTTTAAACCATTTTAATACCAGGCACTTTCACACCCTCCCTGCCCAGGTGAATTTTCACCTTTCAGCTCTGTAGCATTTTGAATGACAATGGCTCGGTCTTGCAACACTGTACCCATACTAATTTTTTTTTTCATACAGATAATAAATCTTTTAGTGGTATTTAATCATCGCTGAGTTTTTAATTTTTGCTAAATAAACAAAAACAGACCACAAATTTTGAAAAAAAAACCCACGTTTTTCTTTGTTTCTGTTTTTACATTTTGCAAATAAATTTAAAAAAAAGTCCATCCAGTTCAACCAAAGTTATAATCCTATACCCACAGTTGATCCAGAGGAAGGCAAAAAAACAAGCAAAGCAGGATCCAATTTGCTTCTGCAGGGAAAAAATTCCTTCCTGATCCCCCGAGAGGCAATCGGATATTCCCTGGATCAACTTTGCCTATAAATGTTAGTACCAGTTATATTCTGTGTATCCAAGAAAGAATCCAGGCCTTTTTTAAAGCAATCCACTGAGTTGGCCAGAACCAACTCTTGAGGGAGTCTATTCCACATTTTCACAGCTCTTACTGCGAAGAAACCTTTCCGTATTTGGAGATTAAATTTCTTTTCCTCCCGATGTAAAGAGTCCCCCCTTGTCCTCTGTGATGACCTCAAGGTGAATAACTCTACACCGAGTTCACTATATGAACCACTGATGTATTTATACTTGTTGATCATATCCCCCCTTAATCTCCTCTTCTCAAGAGAGAATACATTCAGTTCCTCTAATCTTTCTTCATAGCTGAGCTCCTCCATGCCTCTGATCAGTTTGGTTGCCCTTCTTTGTACTTTCTCCAGTTCCCCAATGTTGTTTTTGTGAATTGGTGCCCAAATTGAGCTGCATATTCCAGATGAGGGTTAACTAATGATTTGTACCGGGGTAATATGATATATCTCTCTCTCTCTGGAGTCTATACCTCTTTTAATACAAGAGAGGATTTTGCTCGCTTTAGAAATCGCAGCTTGGTATTGCATGCCATTATTAAGCTTGTGATCTACCAGGACTCCCAGATCCTTCTCCACCATTGATTTCCCCAGTTGTACCCCCCCCCCCCAGTATGTATGATGCATGCATAATCTTAGCCCCCAAGTGCATAACCTTACATTTATCAACATTAAACCTCATTTGCCACATAGTTGCCCAATTAAACAGTGCATTGAGGTCAGCTTGTAAGTTGGAGACATCCTGTAAGGACATTATTCCACTGTACAGCTTGGTGTCATCTGCAAAGACTGAAATGGGATTTTTATTCACATACCCTATATCATTTATAAATATATTAAAAAGTAAGGGTCCCAACGCTGAACCCTGGGGTACACCACTGACAAGCCTAGACCATTCAGAGTATGAATCATTAACCACTACTCTCTGAACACGATCTTTTAGCCAGTTTTCTATCCATTTACATACCAATTTTTCCAAGTCTGTAGACTTTACCTTACACATTAGCCATGTGTGGGGAACTGTGTCAAACACTTTTGCAAAATCCAAGTATACCATGTGCTCCGCCACCCGTGGGTGTATGCCATCCAGTCAAGGTGCTTTATTCACCTTTATTCTGTCTAAATATTT